AAAAACATTACCACATTAATTGAGGAGTAGGATATTGTTGCATTGCAATTTTTTAAAGGACCACAGTGATGAAGAGGACATACCAATTAGGCAAACTGTCAAGTAACGAAGCTTAGTTGCACAACACTCAATCTGACGGGAGCGGAGACAGACTTAAAGTGCCTATCATGCTATATTTGATAACATATATTGTAGGGCCGTACGCTATATAAACACATGTCTGTGCAGCTTTTTTCAAATACCAAACAGATCATGCAATTTTAGCCGCCCATTTCGCTTCTAGTTGCTCTATTCCGCCCTGTCTTCACAGGGGAGCTGATTCTGTGGCAATGAGCTGCAGCTGACCCGCCCCCTGCACAGGGAGGGGCGTGGCTGACGAGCGGTCATGTTACCATGCTGTTACTATGCTGTTACCATGCTGTTACCGTGCTGTTACCATGCTGTTACCATGCTGTTACCATGCCACGCAACCTCTCATTCCCCTGATAAGTGGATAGTTGCCCATGTAGGCGGAGCGTCACCGCCCACTATTCCGGGCTGACATCGGGTCGGAGGGAATCTGTATCCGCTCGTTGCAGCCCCGTTTTTAAAAGATTTGGGTACGGAGGAAAAGAGAGAGGGTTGTATTTTCTGACTCTTGATGAGTTCCCTGGAACACCGGGGACATATATTCATGTATAAAAGACGTACAAAAGTGCATTTTGCATGATAGGTCACCTTTAAGTAAATAGGTATCAAAGTGTAGAAATACCTCAATTAAAACTCTACATAAAAATGTACGTACTCATAGGTACTAATTTGACACAATGCCATATCAATATACTTTGATTTCATTTATGAATGCATTATTTGCTAATTTCTTCAATATTGCAGCTGGTAAAAGAGAATATTTAGTTTTTTTGCAATACATGTATCACCGGGAAGCCTTTATCAGTAATGTAAATAAAGAATTGTAAAGAAAAAAGAAAAAAATCAGTAATGACTTATCTTAACTTTTTATAATTAATTTGAATAAATATTGATATGTTTGGGTCATTATTTTGAATCCTAATCTTGGAGTAGCTATAGTTATCCAATAAATGTAGTGGATTAAAAAGTACAGTATGTGTCTCTGGACTGTAGTAGAGTAGAAGTACAAAGATACAGGACATGGAAATACTAAAGAGAAGTACCTCAAAAAGAGTTCAGAGTAATGTACTCCACTGAGACTGACCTGAGGTCAGGTAACTCCGGATGGTGGTGAACACATCCCTCCTCATGAAGTCAGCAGCCGTGTAGTTGTGTTCTCCAAGAACTGAAACACTGAAAAACACATGATTTAAAAACACCAAAAAACACTATGATACAAAGAAGAAAACCCTCCATGAGAGCACGTACAGCTTCTGGAAGGCGAGGCAGGAGGCGTTGTGAGTGACGTTGGGGCTGATCAGAGTCTCTGTGAGGAACATCAGATAGTTGGGGAGGCGTCGGTCGAACCAGGCGTCGACCTCTGACCTCTCAGAGCTGCTGAGTGCCATCGGCCAGACGCAAGGCAGCGTGGGCCGCCGCACCGCCGCCGGGAGAGACTCCTGTGGGGATCCAGGGTTCAAAAACGTTATCAAAGTCAACTTTATTGTCAATCTTTCAGTTTGTGTGTACAGACAGAGAGATCGAAATACCGTTTCCCACAATCCCGAATACAAATATATATGACATGATGTTACATGAACCTGTGACCCCCTGATCCGAACACCAAGGCTCTATCCACTGCGCCACACGCCTCCATATACAAAAATGTATGCAAATATGTACATAGCTATTACCTATATATACACACACAATCGAAGACACATTTAAACATATTGACATATTCTCGAAGTTACAGCGTAGTTGTTGGTAATGCAAGTCTTAGGTCCCAGGCTTCTCTGACGGTGTAACATGACATATACATCTACAAGATATTTTCTGGGACTCTTGTGCTTTTATGATAGAGACATACTGTATTTAAAATGGGTAGATAAAGGGGGTGATGAGTGTAAACGGTCCCCAGTTGGGATTAGAACTGCAGCCAAATGGAGCAGGGAATAAGCTCCAGGGCAATATACAATTATTTAAGACATCAAAAGAATCAGAAATACTGAAATAATCCTAGAGGGAAATAGTTTTTGCTTTCCATTATAGCATTAATAAAATAAAAGATAACTACAATCCAATATAATGTATGATGAGCAATAAAATAAAAATATGTAAGGGAATGGACAAAGACACGTTATTGTATCATGAATATCTGTTTTTACATTTCTTGTGTGTGTGTGTGTGTGTGTGTGTGTGTGTGTGTGTGTGTGTGTGTGTGTGTGTGTGGCCTAGCATTACTATACTTGTGGGGACCTAAATCTGTTTACACAGTCACGTGTGGGGACTCGCCTCCCTTATGTGGACATAATGAAGGTCCCCATGAGGGGAATCATTAATTTTAGGGTTAAGAGTTGGTTAGGTTTAGGGTTAGGGTTAGGCATGTGTTGGTTATGGTTAAGGTTAGGATAAGTCTCCAGGAAATGCATTTAAGTCAATGTAATGTCCCCTGAAGTGATCTATACATGGTATGGGTGTGTGTGT